AAAAAAAATAATTCTTTATGTGACTTGTTAACAGTATCCTAAAATTAATTTGTTACTATTAATGTTGCAACAACAATGATTCACTATGTTAGCCATTGTTTATAAGTTTTACAACCTTATAATTGACAAGAACAGGGCATGAAACTTGTAAAATAAGTCGACATGTCTAAAGTCTTTCATAAAAGATGATTTTAAAAAGTAACTAGAAAATGTTAATACAACACAAACGCACACAAATACTGACATATCCTCTGGTAGTGATGTTTTTGAAATGTAAATGCGCTACACTCTTGTTACTCCACAAAGTACTAAGTTGAGTCTTGCTTCATCATGTATATGATCCAACCAACATTTAGCAGCTTACAGTTTTGTTGCTTTCAGCGGGGAACTTATGATTGGGCAATTCCTACTGTTCATAATTAAGGCTGTTTACTTTGCCTGGGACCCGAGGCTCAAAGCAAGCTAACACTGGCTTGAGCGCATTTAGGTCAGGGCATAAAACTCTCCGCAGCCCAATTACAATTATTTCCAGCTGGAAGAAAAGTCACAGAAAGGCTGGAAGAATCACAACACCAGGACTGATCAAGTATTCTGGAACAATCTGAGAGGCTGACTACTCAAGCTGATAAGCCCCCAGTTTGGGCGTGCTTCATGGACAGGCTGGCACAGTCATAAAGACAGCAATCAGATGATGTATTTGCTAGAGTGTGCTAGCCCACCCCCCGGAAGTTTCCTACCTGCACCTTTCTAGCCCCTGTCAAGGGGCTTCTTATTTTCTGGTGTAGATCATTTCTCTCTGCTTGGATCAGTTCCAGCACATACGATGGATGGGATTGATCCGAAGCAAACCTTCCTCTTTCAGTTTACCAATATCATGAATGATGGATGGGATTGATCCAAAGCAAACCTTCCTCTTTCACCAATATCATGAACAAGGAAGCCGCTTCAGGATCTTGGCAAAATAATAACTTCCCCTGCTTGGCAGAGGGCAGGGAAAGTGAAGAAGATTGTTTTTGACTGTAAGTAGACTGCTCACTGGAAGGACAGATCCTGAAGCTGAGGCTCCAATACTTTGGCCATCTCATGAGAAGAGAAGACTCCCTGGAAAAGACCGTGATGTTGAGAAAGTGTGAAGGCAAGAGGAGAAGGGGATGACAGAGGACGAAATGGTTGGACAGTGTCATTGAAACTACCAACATGAATTTAACCCAACTCTGGGAGGCAGTGGAAGACAGGAGGGCCTGGTGTGCTCTGGTCCATAGGGTCATGAAGAGTTGGACACGACTAAATGACTAAACATCAAGACTACCACAGATGTACTATATCAGTCATTTTTTTAAAAAATTGAATCTTTTCTTTGCTCCACCTTAAAAGGCCGGTTGAGAAGCCACCTGCAGGCAAATCCATGGTGGTGGCTTTAGCTACAGGCCCTTTCTCAACCAGCCCTTTAGGAGAAGGCTTTCTCCCTGCTGCACATGTAGCTGTACCTTGATATTCACTGTGTAGCTGGATTTGCCTATAAATTATTCAAATATAGACTGCTCAGAATAGCTGTCAAAGAATTGGTGTATTTTTCTTTTTAACATGATAAACAAGCAATATGTTTATTTCCTCCATTATGAAGTCTTGTCTGTAAATCCACCCATGGTACTAAGTTAGCAGTACTAAACCTAAGGAAGTAACTATGATACGTAGAGGAAGTCCAGCATGAATCAAAGGACAAAATTCATCACACTCCATTCAGTTAACAGGTGTTGGCTATGGAATATTTGTTTCAAATGAAAACGTTGAAAAGAAAAGAGCAGTCCAAACTCTAGATATAAAATTTATTGCAGGTCGATGGTTTTAGAAAAATCCTTCTTTGATAACACATTTCTAGCAGCAGTTCTCAGTTTTTCAATGTAATTCACAGTGGATGCAAACTATAGAAAGCAGGACTCACTAGAGTGTCCTTTGTGCATGAGAATTGCTGCTAGAAGCATTTTCCAAAGAAGGCATTATACTCAGTTTAAGAATACATTGGTTGGAGAATATATTTAATTTCTGCTATGGGGTCTCTTGTCCTCCTATCACAACGTACACATGGTGCAGACTGCTTTTGCTGTGGCTTTTTCATTATGCAAATAATAGGTGCAGGAGAATGTTGATCTAGATTGGGGCTGTTGTGGGTGACAAAGGAATAAAGTCCCTTAACCCTCCCTCATCTGGGTCCCAATCTGGACCTATAATTGAATTATTCTTTTAAAAATCAGAAAAATCACTACTTGCACAAATAGTATCACCTTTAGTTAGGCCTTTGTGGCTGCATTGTGAGTTACATGTGTTACAGCACACTCCTATATGTCTCCTTTTCAGCTCATTTCAAGGTTTGTGCCTTATGGAATACCCCCCAGTGAATGCAGTAGAACTTTATTCCCAGGAATCATTCATGGGATTCCATTGGTGAAACCAACATATCTAGAGCATGGAAAACTTTTTTTTAAAGTAACTATTTCCTGGGACATGTTAGGATGTTTTAAATGCCTCATGGTGCAGTGCTGTACTGCAGCCAAAACTGTGCTCACAGCTGGGGGTTCAATCCCAGGTAGCTGGCTCAAGGTTGACTCAGCCTTCTGTCCTTCCGAGATTGGTAAAATGAGTTCCCACCTCACTGGGGGGGGGGATGTGTAGCCTGCATAATTAACTTGTAAACCGCCCAGAGAGTGCTTGAAGCGCTATGGGGTGATATATAAGCAGCACACTTTTTGCTTTTAAAAGTAATGTATTTTTCTTACGAAGTACAGTGTTTGGAAAATAAGTCACTGTATGGCTTCTCTCTTTTTAAATTATATTTTCATTACTTTATTTTTTAAAATGTAGGATTCAGAACCGACTAACATAATACTTGAAAATTTCCTGTCAAAAAGCCTCCAAAATGCCTTTAGTGACCTTGAGAAGTAATTAGAACCTATTACTTGTTACACCAGTAAAGTGACTTTGCTTCCACTTGCTATGTTGGTTTGGAAATATAACTTTGCTATGCCCTTGTAACCCTCCTGTAATGTAACTCATTCCAGTTATGTTAACTCATTGCTTCCACAAAATATCCAGTGCTACTAAGCTACTAAGCATTTTCCCTCATGAAAAAAATCAGTAAATTCTTAAATTAAAATGTCAATAAATTGTACACTTAAAAGAAGGGGTTTTAGGCAGTTCTTTTTAAGGAGAAAGTCAGGATGAAAATATTTTAAATAAATAATTTAAATAATAAATAATTAAGACTTCAGAAAAAGGCTCAACTAAAATTATCATGCCCGTGGGCAACAACATCCTGTTCAATATAGTCACCCTTAGTTTGAGGCTACAAGTACACAATGATGCCTTGTTTTCATCTGTGAAATGTTTAAGCACATGCATTGTTTCTTTCCACGGCATCCACAGGAAGACAGGAAATGAAGTAATGGGATTTAAATTACAGGAAAGTATTGTTAGATAAAAACATGAGCAAAGTGTTCCTAACTCCAACATCTGCTCACCAATGGAGGAATCTTCCTTGGAAAGTTCTGGCATCTCCTTCCTTTGAGATTTCCTAAGGATGGCCCAAGCACAAATCTACCAGAAACACATAAAGTGTTTGATATATCCCGTGTCTTCCTAGGGGGGAAAAGATTGGGACCTGCTCCCTGGGTGTCACATAAGTTCTTGTGGGATATCTCTGCTAAACTTATGACAGAGTGTATTCGCGAAGGCTTTCATGGCC